GCCATTGGCTGTCCCCGGCCCCGCCGCCATTTTGCCCCCCCGCCCCGGGCAGGCCGTATTGAAAAAACGGGGAAAACATCATCTCAGTACTGCTGCCCGAGGAAGGTCGCTTAGTTTTATACGTTAAAAAAGGGGAGGAGCCCATGAAACACGTACTCCAGCTGGGGACTTCTAAACACAGCAGCATAATCCCCCAGGTTATTAACCGCACGTCCCTTTCTTCTCTCAGAAGCTGGCAGACACCGAAGGAGCCGTCGCACCCTTGGGCACTGTGCAAGCGTGGCTCCGGCAGCATCTGTGTATAGAGAGCCGAATAAAGTCCGTGATGCAACTGTTGCCTTTAAACTCCCCGTCTCCTTCGGCTCTCCTTTCCGCTCCTTCTTCATCCCACAGTTCTGCTGCTCACTCCCGGGCAAAACTTAATTTGGGACATGGGTCTCAGTTTTCTTCATCCATTCCAGACCATTAATTATATAGCCTTTCCCCATTTCAAAGTTTTTGACCACGGGCATGAAACACTAGCGCTCGTTCACGTGCAGGAGCTGTGCATGGCACAAACCACGCTTCCAGCCTTGACATTTGTGAGCCTTTTCCATATTGTCCGAGAGTGCCAAAGCTTTTCTTAGGCAATCAATTTGCTTCTTAAAAGCCAGGGCTTTGTGTCACTCTGAACGTTCCCCAGATTGGCACAGCAGCCTGCAGTTAGGACAGTGGACTCTCATACCCGTTCTCTGCACGGTCCCCTGGCCAGCAGAGCTGCTAATAGTCTTTACATCCATGGACACGATTGTACAACTTCTGACTAACTTTACACTAGTTTCTTGAGCTAGTAACGTTTGCCTTGTAAAAGGAAAGAGGTCTTCCTTTTGATCCTCAAACAAGAGGATAGCTCACGGCATGACCTTCCTGTGCACAGACCGCCCCAGCTTGTCAGGCATCTCTTTTGCCCTGCTTGGCAGCTGTGCATCCGTTAGACCTCTCACTGCTGTAAGTGCTTTGAGACTACCAGCAAAATAGAGGTTGTCTGTTAAAGGAGGGCTGGGAAGAGACCGTGTTGCTAGGTGACATCTCCAGGCATTCCTTATCTATATTAGGAATAATTCCCAAGCTTCTGTCACCAACACCAGGGAAGACATGTCAGGCCCCTTCTGATGACAGAAAAAGGCCCGACGTGAGTACAGTGGAAACAGCAGGTTTATTGACCTGCTCCTAGCTGCATTCCTCAGGCAATGGGCTGCCTGACAGGGACTCCCAAACAGTCCTGATCATATACTTTTCTGCCCTTTCCCCCTCTTATCATGCCCTTTTCCCGTTCTGGATTCTTCCCCTTTATCATCCTCGTGCCCTCCCAAACAAATAGCCCGCCCTTCCTTTTTCTCTGTTGGTCCCAGTTTTGCTACCTTCATACCCAAATTTGGCATTTTGGATACCTGTTACCTAGGTAATCTCAACCTTGTATGGAGTTAGTGCTATGCGTCCCTAGGTACTACCGCTCATGCAAGACTCCTCTCCAAAAGGTCGTCCTTTCAGCCACCTGCGAAGTCAAGCAATTTTCCACATTCCTCCCCCTGAACCACCTTTGAAATCCAACTGTCCTTTACAGCATGTTCTGTAACTTCTGTACCGTCACTAATTGGCATCTTGCACATCCAGCAATTTCCCATGTCATTTTGCTGTAGTTTCTCATGTTCTGTTTAGGTAGCTTAACCTCAGGCCAGGGCTACTCAGTCAGTAACCCAGTCGTCTGCCTGCAGCCTTAACATTGTCCCTGCAATACAGTTCTACTAAATAGCGCTGCTTTTTGTCGATACTTTTAGCAAGTGAACGCTGTAGGGTTCATGATAAGCCCCTAACAGCTTTACCACAGCAATAGGTGGAAAGCCTGATAAAAAACCAAACCAAATCAAACAAAAATTCCCTTTAATATTATAGGAGATTATTGACCCATTCTAAAAACTTCTCTGCATTCATACTGCTTAAATAAATAGTGGGAAAATATAGAGAGCTGTGCATGCTGACTGCATCAAGGTACAGCTAGGCATTAAGGGTAGCTGCATAGAGTGCCCTGGAGAACCCAGGATTCTTCTCTGCCTGGGCATACCAAAATAAGCAGCCACTCCTTGTTTGCTAGAGAGCATGCCCATGCAGAAAATAGATGGCAATACAGCTTAATGAGAGGACAGAAACAACGACAGTGCTCAGGAACAGCTTGGCCTGAAAAATGTACTGACTAGCAGACTGCTTACGTACAGCTGCCCTTTATTCCCTCTTCTCTCCATTTTCCACATAATTTTTCCTCTTTTATCCACCTGGCCCCTTCCCTCTCCCTGCTTTTCACCTCTTTTCCTAAGCATCTGATAAGTCCCATACAATCGCATTTCCCCCAGCAGACACTGTGGAATTAAGTTCTGTCCCCCTTTATGCACTAATTCCCTTTAGTGTGCGTTTCACAGTTTCTTTTGTTAAGTCTCCTTAGGCCTTTTTCCCTGTTGCAAAACTTCTTAACTGTTCACTCTGATGGTATATTAGGAGCAGCTGTCTTTTATTTATTTATTTATTTATTTCTGGTCATCAACTGTCTATCTGAATAACTATGGGCCAGACCTCCTTACACTGAGCATAGCCACCAAGTTCAAATGTCTGGCATACACGGTCTAACATGTGATCTACAGTCCGCATGACCATTTCATAAGCATCATGTAGTGATACAAATTCTGAATTAACAAATCTGCGTCTTTCGACATTTCGCTTAGCCTCAAGTCTCTGGATCGGGCATGCCCACTGCTGCACACGTTCCACATAAGCCATGGGTTGCACTACTTCCTCCTTCACCTCTGTGAGTGCATTTGAGGGTGGGAGCGCAGCTGTAGATTCAAATGACACCGCTGGGGCATGGAGTACTTCCAATGGGATCTCTTGGGGGTTATCCTCATTCTGAGACTGTGGGGGAACAGTTTCCTGCTCCACAGGAGGGCAAAGTGCCCCACAAGTCCCCTCCATAGGGCTGTCTTCTGCCCTAGCAGGAGAGACAGCTGCTGACCCAGCAAGTTCAGAAAAACAGTCTGTGCTTGAGGAGCCTGGAGGAAAACGTAACCTTTTGCTGACAAAACGCTTGTAACGCCACAAAATTCGCTTAGCTTTCCCGATTAGTCGCCCCATTTGCAACTGTGATTTTCGTTTTACCAGCCTGTGAATCATGGCATGAGACTTATCAGCAGAACCAGCACCTTTATAAACTCTGTCCTGAGAGCCACTAACCTGTGCCTGACAACTACTCCTTTGTACCTGACAATATTCATGGTCTCTAAGTGCTGTAACAACGTCCTTGCCATTTCTGCAGTAGTCGTGGTCTCTCAGAACATGTGGGAATAGACTGCTACTCAAAAATTGTGTCCTATTCCTTGCACAGTAACAGTGGTCTTTCAAAATAATTTCACTGAGATCCTCAATCTTCTGTTTCTTGTTTGCAAGGTAAAGCCTCATTTCTTCAGAGGTGTATGATCTTTTCTGGACACTGCCTTGGGGGTCACCACACACATGTTCCTGGGAATCTGGATTTTTGTTCTGTCTTTCCATCACTGGATGAAGTCGAAGTCCTGTGCTTTGGTTTTGGTTTGGCTCAACCTCTTGCTCTTCTGCTACTTCTACTTCCTTCCCAGGCCAGAATCCTGTCCTTTCTTGGTCCTGGCTTTCAGTTGGCACCACTTCTCTGTTGGCTGTTGCTGCCTCCAACTGACTCCTACTGCTGACACATTTGAACTTGTTCAGCAGTCTTCTAGAACGGAGACGCCACTGCATACACCGCCCACCTGCTGAGAGAGAATTGGGAAAAGTCTGTCTTCTTCCTGGCAGGGCCACTGTGATGGGACAGCAAGCAGCAGGAAGAGAGGGAATGTGCGGAAGGAATGGGGGGGATGGTGACAGCCTGCAATCCCTCCACCTAGAAACAGCCACTCTCACCCATTAAGGGACACCTGGGCTCCACGGCCCCTGTACTTGCTGGATGGGCATGAGAGCCAAGTCCTGCTTGGCGGTGTGGGGATGCTGCCTGAGCAGGTGTGGGAGAGGCCCCGCAATAAATGCCCTGGAGAGCCAGGTACAGCACAGGAAGCTGGGGATAGCAGTGAGGGCTGGAGTCCACCTCTAGCCTGTTGCTCCTGAGCCCAGGTCATGAGGAAGGCGGAAGACCAGCACTCACCTTGGTGGGGAGTCTCCATTCTCTCCTCCAGCACACAGCGTCTGTCAGCACCAGGCCGCCAGCCTGAAGGATGCTCCACCAGCCAGGACATATCCCCACCAACTCCTGCAGGAAAACCAGCCACGTTATCTTCCAGATAGGGGAAGCCCTTCTGTTCTACAGCATGGGGCTAGAAGAGGAAGCTATGACCCTGCCCACAGATGGCTGAGTTAGGGGGAGGATTCTCCATGGGTAGCGGGAGCATAAGCAGATCTGCAATGGCCCTGCTTGAGCTGCAGCCTTTGCACAGGGAGAGAGATTGCCTCCATTTCCCCTCAACATTACTACCACTCTTATTAGCACAGGCAGTGAGGAGGGGAAGGTGATTTGGACAGGAGGGCAAGTGCGTAACACAGAGATAGTCTGGTCCCTCCTAAGGGGGGCAAGAACCTGGTGCAGCCTTTAGGAAGTCACTGGACTTCATGACTTCTCATCAGAGTGAGTGCTGTTGAAGGGATCTGGATTGTTACCACTCACCTGGAAAGGGGCTGTCAGGTCCATCCCACATCACTGGGTTCTGTGGGGTAGAGACCCATGGCTCTTCCCCACGCTCCATCCGATACAATATGTCAGGTTTGGGGCCTGGGTAGCCTGAGGAGGGGACAAGAGAGTGTTGCTCTATAACCTTTTATTCCTACAGCCAGCAGTTTGTAAACAGGGAAAGAAGTGTCTTCTCTGTAACCCTCTAAGCTGTGCTTCACTGCAACCAGAGAAGTCCTGAGCAGAAACAACACCTACCTATATGGAAAAGCAGGAGATGCATCCGAGCTGCTGTCACGGAGGAATTCATTCACGGGGACAAGGAAAGACCCAGCTCTTTCTGACAAGAGTACAAGAGCCTGCTCCCAGCTCTGCTGACGGGTTTTCCCAGCAAGGGCTTAGCTGTTGCTCACCCCAGGAGCAGCACTTGGGTGCTTTGTGCCACTGCAGCTTGCAGCTCAGATTCTGTATGCAGATAATCAGCTAGCTACCTCGTTCCCCTCCTGCTGGCAGAGGGCAAGGCCTCTGAAGTTACCTTGCTGATTCAGGGAATTCCCCCCTCAGCTATCATTACAATGAACCTGCTCCCCCTCAGCTTGCCTGGTATGCGTCCATCCTGGCCTGCTGCACACTGCAGCTTTGTGCCTCGTGCACGGCACTGCAATGTCACTGCATGAACACCAAGGGAAGGGAGCAGAGTCTGTGACCCAGGGGCCAGGAACTCCAACAGGAAAGCTGCATGACCTCAGTGCAGGCAGATCACCTGGAGTTACATTTCCAGAAGCAGCTATTAGCGTATGGTGTCCTGCTTGGACAAAGACCTGTGCTCTTCCAAGTACTAAACTCTCTCAAGACTGGGGGTGCTTAGGTGCTCAACTCTTTAACTATTATAATTTCATAAAAAAGAAATGGCCAAGGTTGGAAGGGACCTCTGGAGATCATCCTGTCCAATCCCTCTGCTCCAGCAGGGACACCTAGAGCACATTGCCCAGGATCACGTCCAGGCAGGTTTTGAATATTTCCAGGGAAGGAGACTCCACAACCCCTCTGGGCAACCTGTGCCAGGGCTCTGTCACCCTGATGAACCCTGTAAAGTGCTAAAGGCAGTAAGATCTTGATCAGTTCAAACAGGAAGCTGCTCTGCTCCCAGTATGGTTCCCCAGCTGACAGCTTAGCTTAGTGTTAAAACTGCACTTTACCCAGAGAAGTCAAGAGCTCGTAATTCGCCACCATGACACCCCGGTACAGCTCCCTCTGCCACTCCTCTATTGTTTCCCACTCCGCACGGTTCAAATAGACAGCAACATCCTCAAAGGTCACCGGCTCCTGCCAAACATAAGCATCACATACTCGTTAATACATAGAAGCTCACAGCCCCACGGCAGAAGGGTTTCCTACGGGTACTATTTCCCAGGCACTATTTCCATTCCTGGAAAAACTACCATATGGGGGATTCGGAACACCAATAAACAGCACTTCTCACAGGCTCTGTGCTCAGGCTTTATTCTTGGGTGGAGGGAGGGAACGTATGTGAATTATGGACCATCACAGAATGACATCTTAGCAAGGCATTTTGCCTGGAGCTTGGGTATGTTTTCAAGTCAGTCTTTAGTGCACCAAGAAACCGGAACAGCCAGCTGTGACCCAACCCTGTCCACCCACAGACACCCTAGAAATAACCTTGCTCAGACCCAGACAGGAGGAAGCTGTGGCCTGGCTCAGTCACACTGCTGTAAAAAAAAGCAGTCATGTGTCACATTGTGTACCACCTTTGCTAGCATTGGACTAAACCTAATTAGCTTTTTTAAAGCTGAGCTGCAATTAAGATTAGTCAGATGAAGGGGCACACATGTGCCAGTGATGAGCACGCTAATTGCTAGATCTTGTTTCTGAGCATCAGGTGAATCATTGCAGCTTGCAATGCAAAGGTGGGTCCAGCTTCTACTTTGTTTCAGAACTCTCTCTAACGTCTCTGGACGAGATGCCCGGCTACAAAGGGTCCCTAGCAATTATTATCACTCAAATTTCCTGGCAGATCTAAGGCTCTTTTCACTGCAGATAGAAGAGGAATTGAGTTCCAGCCTTGCCCCTTAGGCCTATGTGCCTCTACCAGAAACAGTGCAAGACAGAGGCATCACCTCAGCAGGCAGTGCACTACCACAGGGAGCACAGGCAGCCACACACTGCAGGTGCCCCTGAGCCGAACAGGAACCCCAGGACACGGCACTGGAAGCACTGGGCACACATGAAACATGCCTGGGAACCCCAGGGTGAGGCGGGAGCAGGGCATCACAGCGAGGCATGGCATGGGGATGGCAGCGGGGAGTATCACAGAGACGCATGAAATGGGTTGGGAGGGGGACAGTATCACAGAGAAGGGTGACATAGAGGGATTGGAGAGGGCAATATTAAAGCAGGGTAATGTGGAGAGGTTGGAGAGGGCAATATCATAGGGAGGTGTGACACAGGGGGGCAGTTCAGGGGGCAATACCCCACAGAGGCAGGAAACGAGGGAGGGGTTCGAGGGGCAATACCCCAGAGAGGTGTGACACAGGGGGGTGGTTCAGGAGGCAATACCACAGAGAGACGGGACATGAGGGGGCGGTTCAGGGGACAATACCACAGAGAGGCAGGAAAAGAGGGAGGGGGTGGAGGGGTAATACCGCAGAGAAGAAGAAAATGAGAGAGGGGGTCGGGGGGCAGTATCCCAGAGAGGGGGGACATG